AAACAGGAAATCACTCTTAAACAGTACTCAGGAACCAAAAATAGAACATAACTACCAATGCCATATTCAACATTATACTGGTACATTTGAAAGCATATGATAGAAACACAATTTTAAGGGGGGGAAAAAAATTCCAAACTACAAAAATCACATCAAAAGCAAAGTTAAAGTACAGTGGGGCACTCGGGAAAAATATTTTCATTATGTGTATCAGACTAAGGATTAGTATTCTGGATATATTAAGAATACCTAAAAATCAGTAAAATAGAAATTCAACCCAATGAATGAATGGGTATGAAAGCAATTCATAAATCAGAAAATAGAAATGGCCTTTTAAAAGGAGCTCAGCTTTACCAATAATTGAGAAACACAAACTAAGCATTTTGACATTTTGGTTTTTTACCTGTAGGATTGGCAAGAGCCTAAACATTTGGACATCACTGTTTGGAGCTAGTGGGAAGAAAAGTGCTTGCACAGACTATGTGTAGTGTTATAAAGTTGTATATCCACTTTGAAGAGCAGTGTGTCAATATCTATGAAAATTTTAAATGTACATACCCTATCAGAGATCAGTACTACTTCTAGGTGTGTGGCTTAACCTGAGGCAGGGTTTGCACATGTGCATAAGGACACACACATGTCTAAGAATATTTACAAACATTATTTGTTAATAACAAAAAGAAGAGGACTCGGGTAAATTATGTTGCCAATATATTATGGAATACTCTTTAGTAGTTTAAAAAAATTGGATGGATTACAAAAAATTGACTTGGAGAACAATTCCTAACATATTGTTAAATGAAAAGCATTATGTCGTAAAATGGCATGCACATTATGAAACCATTTATGAAACAAAGAAACCTCAAGATAATATTTTGCATTTTTAATGTGTGCATATAATAATGTGTAAATGTAAGAGAAAGATCAGGAAGAATACTTAGTAAATGAATAACAGTGTTTACTTTTCCTCAAGGTGGTGGAGAGATTGAGATTAAGTGGTATGATTAAAAGGAGCTTTAGGCTTTTTTGTTATATTTTTGTTCTTTACAAAGAAAATGTATACATAAGTTCTTTGTGAAATTAAAAATAAAAGGAATGGAAAACATAATTTCTAATGGAACTCTAATTGCAAAACCTCTCTCCTTTTTTACCATTTTGCCCTCTGCTACCTCTTGGTAACTTTTATTTTACTTTATTGGTTTAAAAAGACAGAATTAAGACTGAGATGATGTAACAAGTCAAACAGTAAAGAGGTAAATGCACAATCTGCTCTGGAAACCTAGCCACTAAGCTACCAAATCCTCACAATATGTTTTGTTCACTTCCATTCCTTTCTCATGGGCATAAGTACGTGTGTTCAGGCACGGTTTCCTTTGTTTTTCAAAAATGAGCTCATGCCATACAAACTTCTATTATGTTCATTAGCAATATATCATGAACATTTTCAAATTAAGTATTTATAAAACCATATCATCCTTTTTTAATAGCTGCAAAATATTGTATAATATGGATATGCATAATTTATTCAACTACTCCATCACTAATGGACATAAAGTTTGCATCCAGATTTTTCTACAATGGACAATGCTATCATAGATATCCACACACAAAAATCCACATTTAGCCATGCGCGCACACGTGTGTAAATTTAAATGCATAGCAAATTTCAGGAAGAACATGTACTTTCCACAGAATACATTATCAAAAGTGAAATTAGTGGGTTAAAGGTGTGCCTTTTTTTTTTTTTTTACTTCAATAGATATTTTCCCAAACAGTTTTACTAATTTACACTCCAATGTTTAAGGTACAAGAGTGTCCATTTCCCGGTAGCCTTATCCCCCAAGATATTATTACTCTTTTTATTGTTTGTCTTTCTCAGGAATGATAAATGGCTTTTATTTTCATTTGAATTTTCCTAACTAATAAGACTGAATATCATTGTTATTTTCTTCATAATTTGTACTTCCAAATCTAAGATTTATACATCTTTATTATTTTCCATAATATGATTCTATTCAGTTTTTTGTCCTTATTAAGTTAGGAAATATTTATATGTTGGGGTCCTTGTCCTTTTCTCATGTGTTAAAATATTTTTTTTTCCAATCCATTGCTTATCTTTTGATTTAGTTATGGTATATGTTATCTAAACAATTTTTAATTTTTTCTAATGTCAAGTAGATCTAAATTTCTTTTTGTGGGTTCTAGGTTCCCATTTTGCTTAAGAAAGCCTTCCTCCAAATATTATGCTAACATTTTCTTATATTGCCTCCTAATTTTATTTATTTTGACATTTTTATTCTATGAAGTAGAGATCTAATTTGTTTGCTTTTAGATGGATAGAAAATTATGTTATCCCTGTTTATTAAATGAGTTTTCCTTTTCCTATTAAATTTAAATGCTATTTTTGTTAATATTACGCTTCCATTTACTATTAGGTATGTTTCTAGACCCTGTATGCTGATCCACTATCCTACTTTCTAGCTCTGGGCCAATGTCATATATTTTGGGGTCCAGTAGCTATAGAGTTAGTGAGTTTTGCAAACTCCCTTCACTACCTGCTTTCTTTCCTTCAAAATTGTGTTTGCTGTTTTTAGACATTTGTTCCTTCAAAATTATTTGACCAGTTTTAAAAATGTGTCCTTTAATAATCTTATAAATATCTCATTACTCTGTATCATAAAGATTATTTCATGTGCAAAGTCACCACCATTTACCTATAAATCAAAGACAGTAATAATTCAAGAATATAGAGACTAAAAGAAAATTATTTCTTTCTTTAATAAATATATATTCAGCACCTTCTTGGTACAAGGCATCACCTTTTCTATGTTACTTCCAGACAGATAAAGCACATAGATCCTGTCCTTCTGAAATGCCAGGTGCTGTTGTAAGTGCTTTCTATGCAGTAACTCATTTGATCCTCATAACAGCCCAGGGCATTTTATTCTCCCTGACCTACAGATGAGGAAATGATGTCCCAAAGAGTGAAGTGACTTGCCTAAGGTCACACAACCATACAGTCAGTGGTGGGTCTAGAATTCATAACAGGTATCCTGGCTCTAGATCCTTCTATCTTAACCTGTAGTAACCCAAGCATGTTGGCGGTGGTGGTGGGGGGGAGGGGGAGATAACAATGACATAGAAACAACAAAATTCCATTTAAAATACAAGTATAGGTAAAATAGTGTGGGACCAGAGGAGAAAAGCTGACTTGTAGCCAAGAGTGTAAGGGAATGCAATTCCTCTCTTGAAAAAGACAATGGTTGAATAGAGCCTGACATTCTGACAGAAGAAAGCAAGACCACGTATAAAAAATAAAGAGCAGATCCACATAGCTAGAAAGACAAGCTATGATACAGAGTAGTAGAAAATAAGTTTGGGAAGATTAACTGGAGTGAGACCAGTTTGATAGGGTTACCAGATAAAATACAAGAAACCCAGTTTAATTTGAAATTTTTATATAATAAATATTTTTTAGCTTAGAAATAATTGGGATATATTGCATGGGACTTAATTATGCAAAATGAAAAATTATGAAAAAATATTTGTTGTTTATTTTAAATTAAAATATAATTGGTTATCCTGTGTTTTCGCTTGCTAAATCTGACAACCTTAGTCTTAAACAAGAGGCTAAGAAATAAAGTGAAACCCTATGATTCATTTTTGGGGGATGACACACTAAAATTTGTAACATTATCCCAAGGTATTCGAAATTTAAAGTTCATAATATGTATCAGGTGCAGCAACCTTTTCTGTAAAGGGCCAGAGAGTAAATATTTTAAGCTTTGCAGGCCATAAGTCTCCATTGCAACTCAACTCTGACATTGTAGGGTAAAAGCAGCCACAGACAATACATAAATAAAAGGGAATGGCTGTGTTCCATTAAAATTTGAATTTTACATAATTTTCATGAGCACAAAATATTATGTTTTAGATTTCTTTTAACTACTATAAAATATGTAAACCATTCTGAACTCACAGGCTGTTTAACAACAGAAAGCAGGGGATTTAGCCAGAAGATTGTAGTTTACCCATCCCTGGGTATCCATAATTCTTGTTTTGGAGTGACCAGAATCTGAAAGCTATGCATTCTTAAAACTTTTCCCCAGGAACTCTTAAAATAGGCAGAATATCCTAAGATTTAATTTAAAAATTCCTTTTAATCCAGAAAAGTAGGTGTTGACATTTAATATACCCTTAAAGAATCTAACTCATATTTATTGAACACACTTGGCAGGTCCTGTGGAGTGTGAAGACGGAGAGAATGAACCAGTCAAAAAGAAATCTGATGGACCAGGTAACAAAACAGAGACAAATATGAGCTGGGGGAAAGTTGAAAATGCTACTTGCCCAGATGGTGTATAATGGAAGGCTGCCTAAAAATAATTAATCAAATACTGTTTTGGACTATGACTAAATAATCAATGTCCTTTGAAATCTCATCTCTAGTGAAATTGCAAAGTGACTCCTAAAAGTAGAGCTGACCCTTCCACTGTTGGATTAAGTTTTGGATTAGAGCCAATTTATAAATATTGTATCCAAGTACCTATGAAAGGGGGTTTGGGAAGCAAATTATAAATGTCCCATGGAAGCCATCAGAATAGAGGCACAAAAAATATTGGCAATTAATTTTAAAGAGCATACAGAGAAGGAGTTAAATGAAAGGTTAGTAGAATTGGGGAAATGAAAGTACTCTGAAAGCTTGGGCCCACCTCATTTTATGAGGGGAAAACCAAACCCCAATGACTTTGCTCAGGATTTCATAACTACAGTAAGGGACAGAATCCATGCCTTCTAACTCCAGCCTAGTCATGGTGCATTTGGGCTCTACATAGTATGTGATTAGGAGGAGGATTTCTCCATGAAGACAAAAAAAAAAAAAAGGCGAAAAAAAAAGGCAAAACAAAGTATTCCAAATGAAATGAACCCTAATGATTCCCTACTTCTATCTCCCCTATTGCACAGGGTTGGAAATACTGTGTACATTATTAACCAGCAGGCAAGGTTTTTTCAGACTTTTTTACTCTGGACACAAATACTTCCAAGGATGTCATCTGCTGGCACAGAATGAGACTTCTTGAAGGCTGTCTAACACGCTCTGTGACACAATTCTTAAACCTGACCTCCATTTCCAGATAACTTGACTCATATGGAGCCAGATATTCTATTATTGCTGCAAAGCTTTATAGGGTTAAAGGGTTATAGTAGCTAACCCTTTAGATTGCACATCTTTATTGCCAGGCAGTTTTCCAAGACTCTTCAACATTTTAACTTGTTTAACCCCCTCAAAAACCCTCTTCTGCATTTAACAGATAAGAAACTGAGGCAGAGAAAGATTAGCTAACTTTTCAAAGTCTATACAATCACTAAGGAGTAGAGTTGGGACTTAAACCCGAAGAGTCTCAACCCAGAGTTTGTGCTCTTACCAACTATGTCTTACTGCCTCTATCATTAAAAAATAAGTTAAAATAAAAATCCTAATTTCACATGTTAGTTTGTGATCACTCAAGTGAATAAAGTGCACGCTATGCATGTCTCCAACACAGTGATTTTAGTTATACCATCAAGACCACCATAAGCAAAGCTGTGAAATGATTATGTTTATCTTCACCAACTCTAAGGAAATAATTGTGAATATGAGAAAAAAAATTGTCAAAAAATATAAGATGCTGCTAACATTTATTAATATTTGTAAGTAACCCCAAGTCTTCAGCCTTCCAGGGTCAAATTTGCCTTTGATGTCTACATAAAGCTGCTAGAGGTTCTAGGCAAACTACTGTGGGAAATGCATGCCTTGCTCAAGATCAAAACAAAAGCAGGGGCGTGGGGTGGAAAGATAAATGTAGGTGTTATCAGCCCTGTCAGACTCAGAATCACTCTTCTGTGGAATAGTACCTCACTCCATTCAGCTTCTTTGTTCAGTGAAGGATACTCTCTCATTTCCCTTCTTCCAAAAGAACAGCTCATGTAAGGCAGTTAGGTGCAACACAATTTTTACTGAGGTTTTGGGGGGATAGTTGGAGGCAGTGACCACATAGGCAGGAAACTGCATCAAAGGGAAATTCAGGGATCACTCTTCCTGCCTCAGGGGTATCTCACCAGCTGGTGCCTCTGGAGCCTGGCTTCACAGCCAGGAGGCTGAGGACCCTTCCCACCAGGCCCTCTCCATCATTTCCCCACCACCTTTTCCAGACTCCCAGTTTTCTTCTCCAGGTTTCAGCTGGCCATTCCAAGATTCTAGTTACTCTAGTGGGTAGAGCTGCTCATCTCTTCTTTGTCTCTCTTGCCCATCTGGACTATGTCTGGAGATCACCCCATATACAGCTAAGCTTCCTCTGATGGTTTTCCTTTTGCAAAGTGCCAACTTTTACCTGAGAGAAAGTCTGCCTTCCTCCTAGGCCACTCAATTCACAAATAACTTTTTTTCTTCTTTTTTTTTTTTTTTACCATTACAAAGATAAACTCTGATTCACACTGTGGCATAAGAATTAAAATAGAGAGAGAAGATTGGTAGCGAGCAGGGATAAGTCACCCAGTGGTCATATCTGATTATACTGGATTAGAGGTTAGGAAACTACACAACCCTGTGCCAAATCCCACCTGCTATGTGTTTTTGTATTAGCTAATATATTTTATATTTTTAATGGTTGAAAAAAATCAAATAGAGTATTTTATGACATATGAAAATTATGAAATTCAAATTTTAGTGTCTGTAAATAACATTTTATTGGAAACCCAGCCATGCCCATTCCTAGACAATTCATTCATTGTCTACACCTGCTTGCACACCACATCAACAGAGAAAGTGGTTGCAGTAGAAACAGTATGGCCTGTAAAGCCAAAAATATTTATAATCAGACCCTGTACAGAGATAAGCTTTTTGACCCTTGAACAAGATCATAAAGGCTTCTGCCCTTTTCTACATGCTATATTAATAATTTTAAACTGCAATTCTGAACTATAATTATTAATCATAAACTCATAAAAATTTTACTATGACACTTGAATATGGTTTTCTTTTTTTTTTTGGTGGGGGAATGGAAGAGATACAAGTTGTTTTCTAATTGGTGTCTGTGGTTTTTTTTTAATAAATAGTGAGGCAATTCTTAAAACATTGTCATGTTCACTAAGTATTCATTTTATTGCAATTAATGTTTGAAATAGTTTATAAAACTAAATTTTTTAAACACCAAATTAAAAAAATATATGCACTGACTGAAATTTGGTGGCATGTCTTGTCTTAAATGGTTCCTGTATGCCAGTTGAAAAACCATTGGCTTATGCGAACAAATGAACAAGACAGGCAGTTAATATGGGGTCTTCTCTCTTTTATTTTGATTCTGACCTAAAGTAAGTTAGGTCACACCTATGGAATCTCCTCAAACCTGATCAGTGATCAGGGAGCTCATGTTGAATTCTCTGAGGGCATCAGAGAGGCACGTGCTACACTGAGACAATATTACAGACATAGTGGTAATCAAAGCTGAGTTTATCACATTGGGCAGTTTTCCCTTTCTTGGGCTGTGAGAGCCACAGCTGTAGATAAGGAAGAGAACCCAAGTACATCAGGAATTTCATGACTTCTGTTGGTTTAGGGAGGGTTGATCCCATGTGCAGTATTTTGTAGTTAGCACAGCTCAGTATAATTAAAAATAATGAAGATAGTTAGTTCAATGATACAGATATACCCTTAGTATGTGTACTGAACTCTTTACAAAATAGCTTTAAGGTGATTTAACTGAAATGCAACTGTAATAGGAAGCATCAAATTCTTCCTGAATCAAAAGAATTGTTTCCAACAACAAGTATTACTTAAGAAAGGAAGCAACTTATAGAAAAAGCATTAAAGGACCCAGTTACCTAGGTAGATACTGTTTCTATCCCTGGCCCAATAACAGAAATATCTTTGCATGTAATCTCTATTTTTAATCAAAACTATTATCTGCATATGAATTTACATATTCTTACAGATGTTTTGATCAAAGGTGAACAGTTCTATCCTAGTTTGGTTTTGGTGCTGGCATTGTGTGTGTAGAGAGACCCAGTGGGAGCTTCCTATATGCAGTCCTCCTCCACTCCCCCCCCTCCCCCCGCTATGCTCACTGTCAAGTGCCCCACTCCACATTAGCTATGGAGGGCCAAAACCAGGTCTGTCTTTGGTAAAACATCACCGTGCTACACACAGCAAAATGGTTGATGGCATTTTATTCTTTTGAAATCTTGTTTCTTTTCCTTCCTCCTAGATAATATCATCAAGAGGATATTTAATATTTTGAAATTTACCTGGGTCCTCTTTCTGGCAACAGTGGATAGTTTTACAACTTGGCTTAACTCCATTTCAAGGGAACATATTGATATATCTACAGTTCTGAGAATTGAAAGATGCATGTTAACCAGAGAAATTAAAAAGGTAACAATTGTGGTGTAACTCTTTTTGCTTCTTCCCATACTATAAAGATTGTAAAAGTCAATATCCAGAACTCAAGTAAGAAAAGACAAAATCCTTTCTTCCCAGTCTTTGCGTAACCCATTTGTTTTTCTGTGTATTTAAATCTGTTCCATGTTCAGAATTAAAATAATCAGACACTGTGTGTGTGCCACTCCCCCCCC